ACGAGCAACCGGCTACAACGTAAGCTTTTGTCGATACCTGGCCTGCTTACACCTTATTTGTTTAACAGTTGATTCCAGGCTCTTGCGCCGCGCGGTCGACCTCCCTGCTTTCGAATCCGTTTTCTTTCAGGTATGTCTTCAGGGGGTGTTCAGCAGATCGCCGTGATTTATGCCTTGCTGTTTGTTGGGCGTTTCTAACGTGTTCTTGGAATGAAACATAGTATTTATTCATGTTAGCATTTTTTTCTTGATGTTATCTCTCTTATCATTGTTGTTTGTTATTTTTATCATTTTTGTTATTAGTTATAATGATGATAATGATCGTAGTATGATAGTAATGATATTGATAATAATGAGGATAATGATAGTGGTAGTGAAAGTGATAATAATGAGGATTAAAATAATAGTGATAATGATAAAAAGGATGATGATAGTAGTGATAATGAAACAATACTACTGCTACTACTACTATTACAAATACTAATAATGAACTAATAATGATAATGATTTTGATAATAGTAATAACGAAAAAAGTAATGATAATGATAATAATGATGATGGTAATGATAACAATGATGACAATGATAATAATGATAATAGTAATGATAATAAAAACAGTAATAATAATAATAGTAATAGTAATAATAATAATAGTAATAGTAATAATAATAATAATAGTAATTGTCATCATTTTCAGTATCATCATTATCAACAGTATTATCATCATTATTAAATTTTTATTATGATGATTATTATTTTTACCGTGATGATTATTGTAATAGAAAAATAACAATTGTAATAATAATCATTATCATCTTTATCATTACTACTGTTATTTTACTATCATTATTATTGTTACTATTATTATTATTACTAGTAGTAGTAGTAGTAGTAGTATCATTATTATTACTATTATTATTATTATTATTAGTATTAGTATCATGTTTATTGCTAATATTATTATTATTATTACTACTATTATTATTGTTGTTGTTGTTGTTGTTGTTGTTGTTGTTGTTGTTATTATTATTATCATCATGATCATTGTAGTCGCTGAAGCACACCTGGTTAATCTTTGTATGAACTGTAATTAAGATTAACAGGGTAACTATTTAACGGGTCCACCTTGTATTAACTACTTTCTTGGGTCGCCTTAGGTTATCACTACCAGCACAAACGGTTACACAATTGCCAATTGATCCTGTAGAATCTGGGTGAGGTATTCCCGAGGAGACCTTTTTGTCATATCAATGTGAATAAAGTGAGGGGATAGTCTCCGGAAGATAGCGTAGTGGGTATTTGTGTTTATGAGAAGGACCGGCCACCCTGACCTTGTGAATTGTGGTCGTTTTGTGCTGCGTTGTACGTGGACCCGTATATTTCTGATATGTTCTGGACTGTATCAAGCTTTCTTTTATCCTTGTTACTCCCTTGCTTTATGCGACTGACGCACATAAGTGTATTAAAACAAGTAAATGATGAATATTTCACTATGCATTCGCAGTGTGGTAAATCACCACGAGAAGTGTGAAAGGCATTAAGGATTTTTTTTATTTTCTCGAAGGCAACTCTTAAAGATAATGAAAAAAGCAATATGTTTTTGTTTAGCGTTAACTGGGAAATGAGTCGCGGGGAATTCCAGCTGTAATTCCCAAGGTGGAAACTGTCACGTGGCTTAACGCACAATACCTACATGAAGGCATTAAAGCAAGGCCACGCATACAATTTTTCACTGTACATATAGGCAGATGCGTGAAAGCCATATGTGTGTATATGTATAAAGGGCGAGAGAGAGATTATTTTTAGTTAAAGAGGTGTTCAGAGGTAGAAAACGAGATGGTGGAGAGCGAAAATAACAATGTTCAAAGAAGCCTCACTTTCATCAGGGGTTACGTGCCGTCACCACCATCATTATAGATATCTTAATCATCATTGTCATCATATTTTATGATATTAATACTACATATACACACATGTATAACTGCATAAACTGTATACATACATAACAGTATCTATACATATAAATACATACATATATATACACGCACACATATGTGTAAGATCACACACACACGTACACACACACACACACACAAATATATATATATATATATATATGCATTGGTTAGTTCACCTCTGACGTGGTTTCCCTTCTCTTCCGCCCGCAGGACAGTCATGGCCAGATTCTCTCTCGCCCTCGGGCTCCTCGTGGGAGTATTGACGGCGTCTTCCGTCTGCCTAGGTAAGAATGGCACCCATAACAAGAAATAAAATCACTTTTTTATACAACAAAATAATTTACAATCTTAAACAAAATAATTTACAATCTTAAACAAAATTATTTACAATCTTAAACAAAATTATTTACAATCTTAAACAAAATAATTTACAATCCTTGCTCTTCAAAATCAGCGGATCCTCCGAACACAAGCAGTGGCTGTCCCTTAGTCTCCTGCCCCGGGACGTACGACCCTGTTTGCGGCAGCGACGGGAGGACCTACCACAATGAGTGCGTTCTGGAGTCGAAAGTGTGCTTCAATCCGGGACTGAAATTCGTGAGACCAGGAAAGTGCCATGAGTAGTAAGTATCATCTATTTCATCTATTATTTATTATTCATATTCAACATCTTTATTCTCGTTGATTTTTGTGGTGGTTGTTGTTAGGTGGTTAGTAAAGGCATGTAAGATTATTTACTCGTGTATATGTTAATGGAGATGGTGATTTCTAAGTTGCATTATTAATGTTATAGTAATATCATTGTTTTGAGTGGTATATTGGCAATCATAATATAATCCCAACATATTTTTGCTTAACTTCTGAAGAATACATTCCTCCTGATCAAAGACCTGAATGAGAATGTCATCAGCATAGGAAGTGATGCTGCATAGGTCTCCCGACTCACTGTTGAGCTTGCAAAGAGAGTGCATAACTATGTTAAATAGTGAAGGGGACAAAACTCCGCCTTGCGGGGTACCTAACTCTAGGTCAATATAAGCACTGCGGGTGCCTTGCTACCAAACTTTGCTCTTCTCAAAAACAGACAATTCTTTATCCATAGCAAACGGTTGCTTTCACTCCTAGCAGAGTTCATTCATGGAGGATTGCAATAGGGAAGGCTCGGTCGAATGCTTAACTGAAATGTATAAAGTGTTCCTTTCCCTTTTTGGAAGCAAAGACTGATGGATGACTTTGATGTTTGATCCGTTGGAGCAGACGAGTGAGAAGAATCCTTTCATAGGTTTTAGAGAGACGGTGTCAGAAGAGAGAGAGAAAGAGAAGGAGAGGGAGATTAAGAGAGAAAGAGAGGGAAGAAGAATCTAATTTCTAAAATAATCCTCGATCTTGTATATTTCAGGCTAGGACCACAGGAACAATAGCCTCGTTCACGTTGATTCCTCCTCCAGTTTTCTCTGACACTCCCCTTTCCCTTTCTCCTCCCCCCCTTCCCCCTCCCTCCAGCTGCACGTCAACGTTGCTACGGCCTTCAATGACCACAACGCCATCGACCAAGGAACATGTTTAACCATTCTCAAAAAGGAAGCCAGAATTCCGTAAACCAAAAGTTGTTATATATGCATATGCGATGTACCTTGCTATGAATCATGATCTTCCAAATTAAACCAATTGCATTTTGTTCTATTGTTTTCCTTAACCTAGTGTTCTTAATCTATTAATTATTATCAACATTTCCCTTCATAAATAAATCGTTCTGAAGAACACCGACGAAGAAATCAATAAAAATATTACATATAATATCACATATAAATAATGCGACGCCAGAATGGACACAGAATAGGGACAATAAAGATAAATACATAATGTAGGCAAGTAGACAAATGTGATATAAATATCAAGAGATTTAATAACAAAAATAAAACATACAGATGAATTAAAAGATTGTTGGTACCAATTTGTTCTTTGATACTATTCAATATTCAATCTCTATTCAGTCAGTTCTCGATTTTATAATTTTCCATACCATTTACTAATGTATGGTGGAGAAGGATTTTTTTGTTGTAAAATGTCATTCTTCACATTGTTATAGGCATCATTTACCGCAGATGATTGTCAAAATATATAAGAAATTCAAATAAGGTGTTTAAACTGGCAAATGACTCGCTGGGAATTTCAGTTGCAATTCAAAGGTGAGGAGAGTCACGTGGCATAACGCACAATATATATTTTTGACAATGATATCTAACAGTACCTAATTTAAACGTTTTCCTGGGCCAACTCACCGATAAGCTTACCCCGAAAATGTTTCTTCCAGGGAAAGTTAAATGAATTCATCGGTTGTCTTGCTGAAGAGACCTGCATGAATAAAAACGTGTTTCGGATTTTTTTTTTCTTGGGGGGGGAGGGGAGATCTGATTCCGAGGTCACATATGGACGGCCAGGAGGAAGGAGGGGATGGGGGGAAGCTTCTGAATCTGCCCTGGGAAACATACCTTGAAACTAGTGATTTATATATATGTACAAACACACATACACGCAATCACACACACACATACACACACACACACATATATATATATGTATGTATGTATATATATATGTATATATATATATATATATATATATATATTTGTGTGCATGTTTGTGCATACATATGTATTTTTCTATACACATGTCCATATATGAATGTATATATGTACATATATACATACCAACACACTCACAGATATATGTACACATACATATGCTGTATACCTGCACACGCGAACAGCTGTCTTCCTGTGATAGGCGAGGCTGCAATATACGAGTACTTGGGAGGCTGGAGAATATAATGTGTTTAAATGACTCGTCAAAAATCCTTGAAATTGCTTATTCCTATTCTATTAAAAATCACACACATATGTATATATACACACACGTAAACATGCACACACACATTTTTTTTTAACCCTCACGTATCAAGGATACGACGAGCAGCCGGCTACAACGTAAGCTTTTGTCGATACCTGGCCTGCTTACACCTTCCTATTTGTTTAACAGTTGATTCCAGGCTCTTGCGTCGCGCGGTCGACCTCCCTGCTTTCGAATCCGTTTTCTTTCAGGTATGTCTTCAGGGGGTGTTCAGCAGATCGCCGTGATTTATGCCTTGCTGTTTGTTGGGCGTTTCTAACGTGTTCTTGGAATGAAACATAGTATTTATTCATGTTAGTATTTTTTATGATGTTATCTCTCTTAACATTGTTTTTTTTTATTTTTATCATTTTTGTGATTAGTTATAATAATGATAATGGTGATGATGATCGTAGTATGACAGTAATGATATTGATAATAATGAGGATAATGATAGTGGTAGTGAAAATGATAATAATGAGGATTATAATAATAGTGATGACTATAAAAATAAGGATGATGATAGCAGTGATAATGAAACAATACTACTGCTACTACTACTACTACGAATAATAATATTGAACTGATAATGATAATGATTTTGATAATAGTAATAACGAAAAAAGTAATGATAATGATAATAATGATGATGGTAATGATAACAATGATGACAATGATAATAATGATAATAGTAATGATAATAAAAACAGTAATAATAATAATAGTAATAGTAATAATAATAGTAATAGTAATAGTAATAATAGTAATAATAATAGTAATTGTCATCATTTTCAGTATCATTATCAACAGTATTATCATTATTATAATCTTATTATGATGATTATTATTTTTATCGTGATGATTATTGTAATAGAAAAAATAATAATTGTAATAATTATCATCATCTTTATTATTACTGCTTTTATTTTACTATCATTATTATTGTTACTATTATTATCAGTAGCAGTAGTATAATTATTATTATTATTATTATTATTGTTATTATTATTATCATCATGCTTATTGCTATTATCATCATCATTATTATTATTGTTGTTGTTGTTGTTGTTATTATTATTATCATCATGATCATTGTAGGCGTCGCTGAAACACACCTGGTTAACCTTTATATAACCTGTGATTAAGATCAACAGGGTAACTATTTAACGGGTCCACCTTGTATTAACTACTTTCTTGGGTCGCCTTAGGTTATCACTACCAGCACAAACGGTTACACAATTGCCAATTGATCCTGTAGAATCTGGGTGAGGTATTCCCGAGACCTTTTTGTCATATCAATGTGAATAAAGTGAGGGGATAGTCTCCGGAAGATAGCGTAGTGGGTATTTGTGTTTATGAGAAGGACCGGCCACCCTGACCTTGTGAATTGTGGTCGTTTTGTGCTGCGTTGTACGTGGACCCGTATATTTCTGATATGTTGTGGACTGTTTCAAGCTTTCTTTTATCCTTGTTACTCCCTTGCTTTAGGCGCCTAATGCACATTAGTGTATTAAAACAAGTAAATGGTGAATATTTCACTATGCATTCGCAGTGTGATAAATCACCACGAGAGAAGTGTGAAAGGCATTTAGGATTTTTTATTTTCTCGAAGGCAACTCTTAAAGATAATGAAAAAAAGCAATATGTATTTGTTTGGTGTTAACTGGGAAATGAGTCGCGGGGAATTCCAGCTGTAATTCCCAAGGTGGAAACTGTCACGTGGCTTAACGCACAGGCATTAAAGCAAGACCACGCATACATTTTTCACTGTACATATAGGCACATGCATGAAAGCCATATGTGTGTATATGTATAAAGGACGAGAGAGAGATTATTTTTAGTTAAAGGGGTGTTCAGCAGATCTCTTCGATTTATGTCGTGCAGTTTGTTAGACTTTACTAACGTGTTCTTGGAATGACACGTTATATATCATTTATGTTAGTATTAATGTTTTGGTGTTATCTTTCTCACAGAGAGAGGGGGGCAGGAAACATGAAGAAAGAGAGAGAGAGAGAGATGGGGAGAGGATGGGGGGTGGGGGGAGCAGAGGGAGAAATAGAGATGAAGAGAGGGAGAAATAGAGATGAAGAGCGAAAATAATAACGTTCAAAGAAGCCTCACTTTCATCAGGGGTTACGTGCAGTCACCACCATTATTATATATATTTTAGTCATCATTGTCATCATATTTTATGATATTGATACCATATATATACATGTACAAATGAGTATAAACTGTATACATACATAACAATATCTATACATATAAATACATTCATATACATGCACACATACACACACACACACACCCACACACACATATATATATATGCATTGGTTAGTTCACCCCTAATGTGGTTTCCCTTCCCTTCCGCCCGCAGGACAGTCATGGCCAGATTCTCTCTCGCCCTCGGGCTCCTCGTGGGAGTATTGACGGCGTCTTCCGTCTGCCTAGGTAAGAATGGCACCCATAACAAGAAATAAAATCGCTTTTTTACACAATTTAAAAAATCATTTACAATCATTGCTCTTCAAAATCAGCCGATCCTCCGAACACAAGCAGTCGCTGTCCCTTAGCCTTCTGCTCCGGGACGTACGACCCTGTTTGCGGCAGCGACGGGAGGACCTACCTCAATGAGTGCGTTCTGGAGTCGACCAAGTGCTTAAAGCCGGGACTGAAATTCGCGAGACCAGGAGAGTGCCATGAATAGTAAGTATCCTCTCTTTCATCTATTATTTATTATTCATATTCAACATCTTTATTCTCGTTGATTTTTGTGGTGGTTGCTGTTAGGTGGTTAGTAAAGGCATGTAAGATTATTTACTCGTGTATATGTTAATGGAGATGGTGATTTCTAAGTTGCATTATTAATGTTATAGTTATATCATTGTTTTGAGTGGTATATTAACAATCATAATATAATCATAATAGCATATTTTTTGCTTAATTTCTGAAGAATACATTTCTCCTGATCAAAGACCTGAATGAGAATGTCATCAGCATAGGAAGTGATGCTCCACAGGTCTCCCGACTCACTGTTGAGCTTGCAAAGAGAGTGCATAAATATGTTAAATAGTGAAGGGGACAAAACTCCGCCTTGCAGAGTGCCTAACTCTAGGTCACCATAAGCACTGCGGGTGCCTTGCTACCATACTTTTGCTCTTCTCGAAAACAGACAATTCTTTATCCATAGCAAACGGTTACTTAAACACCTAGCAGAGTTCATTCATGGAGGATTGCAATAGGGAAGGCTTAACTGAAATGTATAAAGTGTTCCTTTCCATGTTTGGAAGCAAAGACTGATGGAGGAATTTGACGTTTGATCTGGTGGAGCAGACGAGTAAGAAGAATCCTTTCATAAGATTTTGAGAGACGGTGTCAGAAGAGAGAGAGAAAGAGAAGGAGAGAGAGATTAAGAGAGAAAGAGAGGGAAGAAGAATCCAATTTCTAAAATAATCCTCGATCTTGTACATTTCAGGCTAGGACCACCGGAACAATAGCCTCGTTCACGTTGATTCCTCCTCCAGTTTTCTCTGACACTCCCCTTTCTCTTTCTCCTCCTCTCCCCCCCCCTCTTCCCCCACCCTCCAGCTACACGTCAACGTTGCTACGGCCTTCAATGACCACAACGCCATCGACCAAGGAACATGTTTAACCAGTCTCAAAAGGAAGCCCAAATTCCGTAAACCAAAAGTTGTTACATATGCATATGTGATGTGCCTTGCTATGAATCATGATCTTCTAAATTAAACCAATTGGATTTTGTTCTATCGTTTTCCTTAACCCAGTGTTCTTAATCTATTAATTATTATCATAATTTCCCTTTAAAAATAAATCGATCTGAAGAACACCGACGAAGAAATAAATAAAAATAATATATATAATATCACATACAAATATTGCGACGCCATAATGGACACAGAATAGGGACAATAAAGATAAATACATAATGTAGGCAAGTAGACAAATATGATATAAATATGGTAATCAGACTGACAGAGAGACAGATGGATAGATAGGTAGATAGACAGACAGATAGATAGAAATGCAAAAAACAAGGGATTTAAGAACCGGCCCCTCAAACCATATGCACGGCCAGGAGGACGTGAAGGGCGTGAGGGGAAGCTTCTGAATCTGCCTTGGGAAACATACCTTAGAACTAGTGATATATACAAACACACGCATGCACACACATACACACGCATATGTATTTTTTTGTGTGTATGTTTGTGCATATATATGTGTTTTTCTATCTACATATGCACATGTATGAATGTATATATGTACATATATACATACCAACACACACAGATATATGTAGACATATATATGCTGTATACCTGCACACGCGAACAGCTGTCTTCCAGTGATAGGCGAGGCTGCAATATACGAGTACTTGGGAGGCTGGAGAATATAATGTGTTTAAATAACTTAAATAACTGTTAGAAATATCAAAACAGTCGAAGAGTGGTAAGGAGGATAAGATAATGATTCTGCGTGGATGAAAGATATTAAACAGAGCTTAAGTTTGTGTGTATATATATGCATATATGATTATATATACATATATATATGTGTATATATATATGTATGTATATATATATATGTATTCTATATGTATATATATGTATTCTATATGTATATATATGTATATATATTTACATATATTGTACAAACACATATGCGTGTATATGTGTGTGTGTGTTTATGTATTTATATATATGTATAATGTACATTGTATATAAATATATGCATCTAACGAGAGAGATAAACAGATATAGAAATTCTTCCTCTTAGGCCCGCTCCTTCCTTGCTATTGTGTTTTTTTTTCTATTTCCTTCATTTGTTTTACTGTCGTCTTCCTCTCTTTTTCGTGTTTGAGCTTTTTCCTTCCAAGACCTTGCATCCTTTTCTGTCTGAGGATTACCAGTAATTATACACACGCACACTGACACACACTCAAAGATACATACTCAGACACAGCCTCATACACACACACACACTGACACACACTCTTACACGCAAACACACTTTGACACACATTTTCTCATACACAGAGAACTCATACACTCCCATACACATACATACTCTCTCTCACACAAATGCAGATATGATTATATAAATATATTTGTGTGTGTGTGTGTGTGTCTACGTGTGTGTGCGTGTGCGTGCGTGTGTGCGTGCCTGTGTGTGTGAGTGTGTGTGTGTGTGTATGTGTGTGTGCGTGTGTGTGTGTGTACATATATATAAGATAAGAGAGAGAGAGAGAGAGAGAGAGAGAGAGAGCGGGGAAGGGGGCAGGAAACTTGGATAATGCATAAAAAAAAAAAAAAAAAAAAAAAACAGATATAGAACACTGATACAGAGCACAACAATATTAGTTTCAAGATTCTAGGAAAAACCCGAGGGACACACATTTTCTCATGCACAGAGAACTCATACACTCCCATACACATACATACTCTCTCTCACACATATGCATATATGATTATATAAATATATATATGTGTGTGTGTGTGTGTATGTGTGTGTGTGTGTGTGTATGTGTGTCTACGTGTGTGTGCGTGTGCCCTTGGCTTTTCACCACAGTTGGTTCCAGGCTCTTGCGTCGCGCGGTCAACCTCCCTGCTTTCGAATCCGTTTTCTTTCCGGTGAGTCTTCAGGGGGTGTTCAGCAGATCTCTTTGATTTGTGTCTTGCTGTTTGTTAGACTACTAACGTGTTCTTGGAATGAAAAGTCATATTCATATCATTCAACTTGCATTATTGTTGTTCTTGTTAAATTTTTCAACAATGTTGTAATTAACAATTTTGTTGTTAGTTATAATAAGGATGATAAAAATAGTAGTATGATAGTACTGTTAATGATAATAGTAGTAGCAGTAATGATAATAATAATAAGAAGAATAGTAGTAATAATGATGATAATGAATCAATGCCAATGATGATAACAATGGTAACAATAATGATGATTATGGTATTAATGATGATAATGATTGTTATGGGAAGTGTTATTACTATTTTAGCATCATCATCATTATCATTATTATTACTATTATTATGATGACTATCATTATCTTTAACATTATTATCATAGTTCTTACTATCATTATTGTTATCATTGTCCTAAATGTGGAAAAAATAATGACAATAATCATCATAACAATAATAACAATAATAACAATAGTAATAATAACTATAATAATAATGATAATAATAACAATAACAACAACAATAATAATAATAATAATAATAATAATAAAATAATAACAATGATGATTATAATAATATAATGATAATAATGAACACATAATGATAATAATGATAATATAACGATAGTAATGATAATAACATCAACAATGATAATAAGAATAACAATAATAACAAAGATAATAATAATTAGTAATCATTAATTAATATGATTATTATTATCATTGTTATTAATTACTATCATTATTGCTGTTAATATAATGATCATTATCATGTTTTTGATTATTATTATCATCATTGTAGATGTGTTTCGTATAGACACTGAAGCACATCTAGTTTAACCTCCGTATGCCCTGTAATTAGGATTAGCACTATAACTGATTAACGGGCCCCTCTTGTATTAACTGCCTTGTTGGGTCACCGCAGGTCATCACTACTGGATCACGCTGCCATAGTTAAAATATCTCCTAGAACCTTACCTTCAGGAATGTATTGTGTGTGTGTTCATAAAAATATATATACACACAAAACCTATCTATCTATGTATGTGTGTAAATCTATCTGTCTGATTATGTATATATATGTGCGTGTGTGTGTATATGCATATGTGTTTATATAATATATATGCATATATAATATATATGTACATATAAATGTATGTATGTGTATGCATATGTGTATTCATATATAAATGAATATATATATATACATATATACGTACGTACTCATTATATGTATATGCATGTACGCATGTATATATATGTATATGTATGTATATATGTATATATATGCATTTGTGTGTATATCTATATGTATAATATATATATATATATATATATATATATATATATATATGTCTGTGTATATATACATCTATATACACACATACATATGTATGTATACATGTGTATATTAGCGCACACACACACTCACACACACACACACACACACACACGCACACACACACATATATATATATATATATATGTATACGCACATGCATATACATATACATACACATACGTATATATACAAATATATATCCATACGTATATACACACATGCATATATGTGTATATATATACATACATATGTATATATATCTATGAATATATATGAATATATGTATATATATATATATATATATATATATATATATATATATATATATATATATATATGTATGTATATGCATATATGTGTATATATAGGCCTATATATGTATATATGTTTATATATATACACATATGTATATATTACATGTATATGTCTTCATATATAAGTGAGAATATTATTTCATATGATTATACATCTATATATATACACAGCTATATATTTATATATATATATATATATATATATATATATATATATATATACAGAGAGAGAAAGAGAGAGAGAGATGATTGCAGTCCTTTCAGTGGATGGCCAGATCATCTCAGATCATATTGGAGTTCGTAAACGTTGGGCTGAGTATTTTGAGCAGCTTTCCAGGTAGACCCTCTAGCAGTTAATCTGGGCGCAGGTGGTGTCACAATACCTGTGCCAGACCCACCCATTAGCGAGGAACATCCTACCCTAGCTGATATTAGGGAGGCAATCTGAATCTATAATGTGATATTCCTGTTGAACTGCTAAAGGCTGGGGGTGTACCTATGACACGGGGCTTGTATACGGTCTTGGCTGCCATCTGGCAGTTTGGTTCCATTCCCCGTGACCCGTTGAGGGGCGTGGTCATCCCTCTCTGGGGAGGGAAAGGGGATCGCTGGGACTGTAGCAACTACCGTGGCATCACTGTTCAGTGCACTGCTCGGCGTAGAGTTTTACATACCTTGGTAGCATAGTCCATGTCTCTGGGCTATCAGTCTAAAAAGTCAGTGGACGGATTGGTCTGGCAGCAGGAGACATGGACTCAGTCAAAAAGAGCATTTGGAGATGCCGGTATCTGTGCAGAAGGACCAAGCTACGTGTCTCTATGGCTTTGATACTGCCAGTTTCGCTCTGTGAAAGCGAAAATTGTACGCTATCTGCTGCCTTGGAGTCTCGCTTCCCCGTGGACGACCCTGCCCATCAGCTTGCCTCTTTACGGGACAATCCTGTAGTGAGGAACTATGTATCTAATATATATGTATATAATATCCATGTATATATATGTATATATATATATATTTATTTATTTATGCATATACCTATATATGTATATAATGTATATGTATACATATTTATACATATATATTTATTCATGCATATATATGTATATGCATATATATATATATATATATGTAAATATGAATGTGTATATATAACTATGTGCATATATGTATATCTGTATACATGTATGCGTTTATGTATGTTTATATGTATGTATATATGAATATATATATATATATATATATATATATATATATATATATATATACATATATATGCATTTGTATATGTATATATATGAATATATACATAGATGTATACATATATAAGTATTCATATACATATACACATGTATGCGTGTGTGTTTATATACATATATACACGTGTGAAAACATTATTTTTATATTACATATATAAAGATACACATGTGTGAGAACATTATATATATATATGTGTGTGTGTGTGTGTGTGTATGTGTGTGTGTGTGTATGTATATATATGTGTGTGTGTGTGTGTATATATATGTGTGTGTGTGTGTGTATGTATATATATGTGTGTGTGTATATATATATACATATACACATACACCTAAGGTGATGTGTGCGCGCTTGTATGCTTTGATCAGTTCGTCCCTGACGTGGTTTCCCTTCCCTTCCTCCCGCAGGACAGTCATGGCCAGATTCTCTCTCGCCTTCGGGATGCTCGTGGTGGCACTGATGGCGTCTGCCGAGGCCAGGAGCCCCGTCCCCCCCGGCTATCAGTGTGGCTTCGTCATCTGCCCCGCCATATACGCCCCTGTCTGCGGCAGCGACTGGAAGACGTACTCCAATCAGTGCAACCTAGAGGCGGCCAAGTGCAGGAACCCGCGCCTGAGACTCGTGAGGCCGGGAAAGTGTGAGTAGTGGTGACCTTTCTCTCTCTCCTTTGCTATTTATTAGATCCAACAGCTTTCTTGTTGATTTTTATGGTGGTTATTTTGAGTAGTTTATTAGCAATCATAAGGAGGACGAGGGTGATATTGATGATAATGATAAGGATGATGATAATAATGAAAATGATAATGAATTTTACAATGATATTACTACTACTAGTAATAATAAAAATTATCATTATATTGATAAAATTATAGTAAAATGATGGTAATAAAATGAAATAATCATGATAAAATGATAAAATAGTAATGATAATGATAATCAAATGACAATGATAATGATAATCAAATTACAATGATAAGAAATGATAATGAAAATAAGGGCCACAATAACAGTAATGACAATAATAATGAAAATAATAACAGTAATAACTAATAATGAGGGCGACAAGTGTTCGGTTGAAGGACTTACCCTAAGGCACTGGAGAAAATGTAAGGCAAAGACTAATGACGAATTTGATTTCGTGGAGCAGACGAGTGAGAAGAATTTTTTCATAGGTTTTAGAGAGACAGGGTGTCAGAAGAGAGATAGAGAAAAAGGAAGAGAGAATGGTTTAGAGAGAAAGAGAGGGAAGAAGAATCCAATTTCTAAAATAATCCTCGATCTTGTATATTTCAGGCTAGGACCACCGGAACAGAAGCTTCGTTCACGTTGATTCCTCCTCCAGTCTTCTCTGACACCCCCCCCTCCTTCCCCCCCCCCCCCCCCCTTCCACCTACCTCCAGCTGGACGTCAACGTTGCTACGGCCTTCAGTGATCACTACGCCATCGACCAAAGAAGAAGTATATGTGTGTGTGTGTGTATGTATATATATGTGTGTGTGTGTTGTATGTATATATATGTGTGTGTGTAATATATATATACATATACACATACACCTAAGGTGATGTGTGCGCGCTTGTATGCTTTGATCAGTTCGTCCCTGACGTGGTTTCCCTTCCCTTCCTCCCGCAGGACAGTCATGGCCAGATTCTCTCTCGCCTTCGGGATGCTCGTGGTGGCACTGATGGCGTCTGCCGAGGCCAGGAGCCCCGTCCCCCCCGGCTATCAGTGTGGCTTCGTCATCTGCCCCGCCATATACGCCCCTGTCTGCGGCAGGGACTGAAAGACGTACTCCAATCGGTGCAACCTAGAGGCGGCCAAGTGCAGGAACCCGCGCCTGAGACTCGTGAGGCCGGGAAAGTGTGAGTAGTGGTGACCTTTCTCTCTCTCCTTTGCTATTTATTAGATCCAACAGCTTTCTTGTTGATTTTTATGGTGGTTATTTTGAGTAGTTTATTAGCAATCATAAGGAGGACGAGGGTGATATTGATGATAATGATAAGGATGATGATAATAATGCTGATAATAATGATAATGATTTTTACAATGATATTACTACTACTAGTAATAATAAAAATTATTATTATATTGATAAAATTATAGTAAAATGATGGTAATAAAATGAAATAATAATCATGATAAAATGATAAAATAGTAATGATAATGATAATCAAATGACAATGATAATGATAATCAAATTACAATGATAAGAAATGATAATGAAAATAAGGGCCACAATAACAGTAATGACAATAATAATGAAAATAATAACAGTACAGTAATAACTAATAATGAGGGCGACAAGTGTTCGGTTGAAGGACTTACCCTAAGGCACTGGAGAGAAATGTAAGGCAAAGACTAATGACGAATTTGATTTCGTGGAGCAGACGAGTGAGAAGAATTTTTTCATAGGTTTTAGAGAGACAGGGTGTCAGAAGAGAGATAGAGAAAAAGGAAGAGAGAATGGTTTAGAGAGAAAGAGAGGGAAGAAGAATCCAATTTCTAAAATAATCCTCGATCTTGTATATTTCAGGCTAGGACCACCGGAACAGAAGCTTCGTTCACGTTGATTCCTCCTCCAGTCTTCTCTGACACCCTCCCCCTGCTTCCCCCCTCTGCCCCCCCCCCCCTTCCACCTACCTCCAGCTGGACGTCAACGTTGCTACGGCCTTCAGTGATCACTACGCCATCGACCAAAGAAGAAGTATAACCGAAAAAAAGAAATCAAAATTGGTTCCTAATCCGTAATTTAAAGATTA